TAGCTCGTTCTTCTAGCAGCAGCGGCCTGGGTGACCATGCATTAATCAGCAAGGTCTCAGGCCGAACTGTACTGATAGTCCCCAAGAAATCGATCAAGGGTATATGCTGTTTGTGAGTGTTGGTTTTACTTTGATGACTTTGACGAGTTTCGAGAGTTTTTCTATTGCCGGAGCTTCGCTCTGAGCCACACTTATCTCGTGCTTGCCTAGTCAACCAGGCTGTTGCTGTGGTCAGTTCACCCACATATTTATCACAGACTGGTTAATCAGGCATATGTCGGAGATACTTGTCTAGCTTGAAGATTGAGACACTTATGCAGCATATGGGAATCTTTATTCAGGAAACGTTTCGCCACACAGTGGCTTCATCAGTCCAATACAAAGAGGAAGGCGTAAGGAGAGGAGGAGTATGAGGTAATCAGTCCCTCAGCCTGGAGTCGATGTGTTCAGTCCATCAATCTTGTACAGTTTCCTGAATAAAGATTCCCATATGCTGCATAAGTGTCTCAATCTTCAACTTGTCGGTTTTTCAAACCATTCATCACACACTTGTCTAGCTTACCTTTGAAGACTTTTACACTTGGCTCAGCAGTGTGGTAACTTCACAAATGAACATCAAAATGGTACACAATACCGACAGGTTGTTAGGTAAGACACATATGCAACAGTTAGACAACTTTATTCCGAAACGTTTCGCCTACACAGTAGGCTTCTTCAGTCGAATACAGAAAATAGGCAGGAAGAGTAGAGATGTGAAGACGATGTAATCAGTCCATCACCCTTGTAGTCGTAGAATTTGAGGTTGTCAGTCCCTCGGCCTGGAGAAGTTCAGTTCCATAGTCAGGAACTATCTGAACTATCAGATAGTTCCTGACTATGGAACTGAACTTCTCCAGGCCGAGGGACTGACAACCTCAAATTCTACGACTACAAGGGTGATGGACTGATTACATCGTCTTCACATCTCTACTCTTCCTGCCTATTTTCTGTATTCGACTGAAGAAGCCTACTGTGTAGGCGAAACGTTTCGGAATAAAGTTGTCTAACTGTTGCATATGTGTCTTACCTAACAACTTCACAAATGACAATCCATAACAAGCCATTTAACATGATGTTTGGCAGGAGATGGAGGCGACGGAGATGCCAGAAACAGAAGAGGAACAAGCGATGGTAAGGTTCACCACAGTGGACTACACAGTGTTCATTCTCATGCTAGTGGTGTCCGTCGCTATTGGGGTGATCAGCGCCGTCAGGAGCCGGGATAAAGCCACCACACAAGAGTACCTGCTAGGAGGCAGGGCCATGTCTCCAGTACCAGTGGCCTTGTCTCTGCTAGGAGGATGGATCTCTGCAATTTCGATTTTAGGTTAGCGTGAAGAAACAATTAACTAAAGAATAAATTATTCTAACATGCATACATGTGATAGTAAATCCACTGTTAACGAAAAACTTTTCTTTTTACAGCTACACCATATTACTTTGCCTCTCTGCTACAATAAGCAGAGACAAATGAGGCGTCATAGCATGGCATAACCCGATCTCTAAGGTTGACCTGACATTCAAGGGTAACTTGTCCTCTAAGACCGACCTGGCCTCCAAGAATTATGCTGATATTTCTGCTGTCCTTAGCGTGAATTATTGTATTTAAATTAAATTTCCCCACCAGACACAGGGAAGCTTGTATTTAACGCTATGAAGCTAAATTCAACAATTCGTCACTGCATGCAATTATTAGATTTAAGCATAAGCATTAATATTCAATTATTACCACAGAAGTTGTGGTCTTAGTCAAATACAGAACAAAAATCATCAGTGTAGTAACGCTGTAGTAACACTCTTGAGAGAGAATCTTTTTACGCACTTCAGATTCTTAAATGTAAAGATGTCAGTAAATGCATAGCACTATATTATAATGAAACGATGAAAGATACAGAATATATATGTCACAGTGGGAATTAATGTGACATAGTTACAAAATACTGATCAACAGATTTATAGCCAAAATTTAATCCATGGAAATTGACAAAGGTGTTTATTTGCTTTCTTTTTTTAAGTGTCACGAGAAAGTAATGGAAGGATAAACAGGTAGTTGAAATAAATGGGCATGAACACGAAAGGAATATTAGAGCAGGCAGTGACAGCAGTGGTATGTCCCGTCATGTGCATGACTACGACCACAAAATAGTTTCAGATAATTTCAAACTAGTTTTTAAATGTGATTATTTTAGAGATGAATAATAAAATTGAACATTACAGTGTCAGTTTCAAGTTATAATTTGTTTGAGGAGCAATTTAACTTCAAGGCGAAATTCACACCTAAGTTAATTTCCGCAGTAGCTGCTTGCAGGCCAGATCTTCCACTCTTGGATGTCATATTTTGTCACTCCAGTGGGACTCTTCATTAGAATTCTGCTTGACGAGGTCATGTGAGTTGAGGAATGATATCAATCCTAAGACTGTGTCAATAGTAGGATACTATCATATAGGATCGTGTTTTTGTGGGTATTCAACATGCAAATTCAGAATGGATATAAATGCACTGGAAAACGTACAAAGGAGGATGACATAAATGATCCCATGTATCAGAAATCTTCCTTATGAGAACAAACTGAGGGCCCTGAATTTGCACTCTCTAAAAATGCGTAGAATTAGGGGGGCATATGATTGAGATTTATAAATGGAAAACAGGAATAAATATAAGGAATGTAAATAGCGTGCTAAAAATATCTAGCCTAGACAGGACTCACAGCAATGGATTTAAGTTGGAAAAATTCAGATTCATGAAGGATATAGGAAAGTACTGGTTTGGTAATAGAGTTGTGGATGAGTGGAACAAACTCTCGAGTACCGTCATAGAAGCTAAGACGTGTAGTTTTAAAAGTAGGTTGGATAAACACATGAGTGGGTGTGGGTGAGTGTGAGCTAGACCTGACTAGTTGTGCTAATAGATCTGATTCCGTGCCCCTTCTTTAAGTGGATGTGACCTGACCTGACTAGGTGGGTCTTTGGTCTAAGCCGGGAGGTGACTTGGTGACTGTTCCTTCTTCATGTTCTTATGTGTAGTATAAGACCAGATATTTTAACACAACCACAGTTCCCACCAAATAATAATAATAATAATAATAATAATAATAATAATAATAATAATAATAATAATAATAATAATAATAATAATAATAATAATAACCCTCTCCAGGTATAAAGAAGAGTGACTCAGAGACAACTGATACTTGATCCCTATCTTTCTTTAATGAACACAGAAATTATGATCCATTGATAACCTACGGACATTGAAGATCCGCACCCGACTTATACAAGCAAAAAAGTCGAATCTGGAATTCGCACCTAGAGATAAATGTTGCGCTAACTAATGAACATAAGAAAGAAGGAACACTGCTGCAGGCCTACTGGCCCATGGGAGGCATGTCCAAGTCACCCACTGGCCCATGCCTAGTCACAAATTGCCCTGATTATTCTTGCCTAACGCCAAACGTTCTTGTAACAAGTGAGGCTTTGTACAAGTCATTGTAAAGTAACTTGAGGCTGTTTCAGTGACACCACACATGACTTAATATTAACCTAACATTAACAGCAAATCTTTATTTACGTATGAATCCAAATACTAAGTTGGAATTACCAAATAAAATAATAATACATTTGGCATGTATATATTACGTTGAACAAATAACATGTCTAATGAAAACTTATTGGCTGGTCTACAAATAAATATTACAGTGTTTATCATAATTTGGTAAGAAATGAAGGTGTTTTACGAGTATTTAGTCTGTTTCACAGCATAAGGTAATCTGTGTCCCTCATCCCCACTAACACAACCGTCTGACTCAGGTAAACCTACCGAGATATATTTCTTCGGTACACAACTTGCCATGGCTCTGCTAGGCTGCGTCCCGGGTTGTATCTTCGTGGGTCTAGTCATCCTACCAACGTTCTACCAGCTCAAACTTGTCTCCATCAACGAGGTCAGTTGTTATATTTTTCATACCTTGGGAAGGGAAAGATTTCGTTAAGTGTTTCTTTGTATAACCTTCAACTCAGTGTAACTGGTGGAACATCTTGTATTATTCAATATGACGACAGTGAAAGAGAAATCAATTTCAAGTCCATAATAATGTAATTAATACATCACGATAGCTGGTGTAATGGTTCTTTTTCACCGTAGCTCAATTTTTTTTTTCGTGATTGTATTGCATCATGCAGTATATTCAGATAAGGTTTGGGTCACGGTTACTGAGGACATTAACAACGTTGTGTTTGTTGCTTACAAACGTTATCTACATGGGTGTAGTCCTCTATGCTCCTACAATGGCTTTATCTACTGTCACTGGCATCTCTATATGGGCGTCCACGCTCACCATGGGCATCATATGCACCTTCTATATAACAATTGTGAGTATGACATTTCCGGTTAAGAATTATTTCACACATTAAAGACATCCGTTGTTTCCCACCAAGACAACGTGACCCAAAAAGAGAAGAAACACTTCCATCATCACTCACTCCATATTAATATATCATTTAAATTAAAACATGTATATTTAGCTCGTATATATGGAAGTATATAGTATAAGTGAAGATTAGAATACTAAAGGATTGCACCTTGCATTTAAATATTGTACAATATGTTAAGGGTTGACACAGGGGAACACTGGTTACACTGATGTGCTCTAGACACTGCTAATGTAGTTTTGTCCCACAGGGAGGTGTTAGGGCCGTGGTGTACACTGACGTGCTACAGACACTGATCATGTTCGGTGGAGTGCTGGCGGTGGTCATCATCTGTTGTGTTGACCTGGGCGGTGTTGACAACGTTTGGGACATCGCTCTCCAGGGAGGTCGCATTAAATTTTTTGAGTGAGTTTTTCATGATGGTTCGTATATTTCATCTGATTAAGGGTGCCCTCTAATATAAATGTAGTGATAATAAAACGAATACGCTTTTTACGTTATCAGATGTATAATATTGTGTGCATTCGCAATTCACTATTGGATCTAATAAACACAGCTTAGAACTCAGATATTTTTTTAATTTTGTAAATCCGTGCTTCATGGCTTTCTAAAGGTTTCTGTTATTATGAGTGTAATGTAAAGATATCAACTTAATGTCTTGACAATCTATGGAAATTCATTCAAAGTTCCACATATAGGAGTATTCTGGGAAAACTACATGGTAGGATACCAACACTGAGACAGTCATCTCAGACAACTTACACTCACAAGCCATAGGTTAGCCATATAAACTTTTCATGTGCAGTATTTCCAGCGTTTTTTTGTTACTAAAAAGACCAACGTGTTATGTTCTTATTTTGGACTGTAAATCAGCAGACTCGAAGTGGTCTAAATATATACTTTGTTACCACAGTAGCAAATTTATTGTTGTTGTCCACGTTATAACCATTTTTTTCAAGTTACTAATGTCACTGCCACTAGTGGCAACAATCCTGCACCAGCATTAATATTATACCAGTGACATAAGATTAAGTTTGAGTCAGTAATATATGATTTATCAAAACTACTGTTGAAAACCAGAGCTAGACTTGGCTAGTTTTACTAAAATACCTGGATTGCTTAATTGTACCTGATAACTTAGAGAGCAATAGTAAACACTGGTGTGTTGAATACTACAGACACGTGCAGATGGTGAGCAAGGGGAGTCTTGGAAGGTAATTAGATTCAATATAAGGAAAGGGAGAAAAAATCCCACTCTAGCTCTTGAGCCCTCCACCTAAGTTACAACCATGAAGGGGCGCTAGGCAAAGATGTATATATGCTCTCAAATACAAATAGTAATGTTAATACACAGAGAAGTGTGTATTTCTGACTGTATATTCATCGAGAGTATTTACCTCAATCCCTGCTTCATGGAATAAAGTAGTCTTCATTGTCAATGTATATTTCATATGTATCCTTAATGACCATCATGAAGCTGAGTTTCTTTAAACTTAACTAACTAAAAGTTCATAGCAGAAGGAATAATTTACAGAAGTTTCACACACTAAAATACGTCTGACTAGTCGGCGTTCGACTGACAACCAAAAAAATACCCAGGTTTAATTCCCGGCTTCATACATATGAGTAAATAGGTGCAGTAAATAGGTGTCTGGGAATATAAGTGTTGCATTCTACGAGAAAAGGAAACCCCAAATTGAAATGTCATATTACTATGATATGTTGGGTTATATTACATTAAATAAACCATTTTTAATAAAAAAAATCAGCTAAGAAGAGTAATTGAAAAATATGTAATCAAAGTTTTGACTTGGCTTTTGCAGCCTCAACACAAGCCTCTACGAGCGCCACACGTTGCTCTCTACCACGGTGTTCGGTTGTTACCTCATGGTCAGCGAAGTGGGCTTCAATCAGAGCACCTACCAGAGGTTCGCTTCTCTAAAGACCCTGCAAACAGCACAAAGGTAAATGAAGCCTCCGTGCCAGTAGTTTTAATGCTTCAAATAATGGAAGTGTTCTGGTCTCTACGCTATCCTAGAGGAATTCACTAACCCCCAACCTCCAGTGCAAGCAAGAGGCCTTGTGTGAGCCAAACTCTGTAGGATGAGTTATTTCTGCCGTAGGTAAAACTATATAATAAAAACAAAATAATCTTGCCTCAACCAAAAACCTTATTTTTCCTTCAAGTGCGATTTACTGAACAGCGCTGCTCATCCTGTGAGTGAAAATAACTCACGTAGATAGTACACTACACCCAAGATAGTTGACAAAGTACTGGCGACGTCAACTCCATCATTAACTATTTCAAAATACAGGTATCGCTGATTTTACAAGGGACTACAAATTGTTGTTATCTAGATGCAGTAAATCCTATATATTTTAAGATTCTACCAACCTTAGTTACGTGCTGAAAAAGTTAATACATATCTGCGCTTGAATTAATAATAATAATAATAATAATAATAATAATAATAATAATAATAATAATAATAATAATAAGATGATGAAAGCTAAACTTCAGGCAAACAACACAAAGATTCTAAGAGGAAATTTTGTTTACCTTTCACGAGATTTGAAACGAGATTATCTTTTACCGCAGACTAGTGCTGTTCTTCTTGATTGGGCTGTATTTGTTATGGATTATGTTCTACTTCTCCGGGCTTGTCGCCTTCGCCACCTACAGCAAGTGTGACCCACTCACGTCAGGCAGGATATACAAACCTGACCAGATTATCCCGTTCTTGGTGTCTGACAAGTTGAGTCACCTGTCGGGGATGTCTGGTGTCTTCGTCGCTGCTGTGTATGGTGGTGTCCTCAGGTGAGTCCCCAGGTGCCTATCATGAGCATACACTTTTTAGATCACTGATATTTCTTTGTATTCTGCCGAATACAAAGAAATAAGGAGAGCGAAAAGGTATTTATGCTGGGGGCGAGTTAAAAGTAGAGCGTCTTGGGTCATCGGGTTACTATAGGTAAGTGCATATCTGAGCGTATGCAGAACAAGCCACATGGAGATGGAAATCCTTAGCTCAAGATCTCTCGCATTCTTTGTGCGTCGTCAGATCTATGCAGTGTTGCAGTCCTAGCAACAGATAGCAGGGGCGTCGGGCCATGTCACAGCGACAATGACCTGATGCTTTAAAACGCTTCTGCCTTGCCTAAGAGAGAATTTTCCCCCTACTATCTGTTCCTAGCCTTGCAACACTGCATAGCTCCTGACGATGTACAAAGAGGGCGAAAGATTTTGAGCTAAAGGCTTCCATCTCCATATGGCTTATTCTACAATGTTAAGATTGTCTGTTTGAGTGTGTTGCATCATAGTGTATACATATACGCTGAGATTTTGCTCTAACCAGTCTTAAGTACTGACGCTTTATCACTGTAGTGTCTGTGGATTGAGGTCTTAATAGAATATCCAGTTATTTAGTATTTCACGAAACGTATTGAGAATTTCAAAGAGCAGTCACAGGTCTCCCATCATGACCAATGGGGAATCAGATTCCCGAGACAGGTATATCTGTTGTCACGTTGTAGGTTAAATATTAATGGACTTAATATAAAGTGAAGTGAAGCGAATATTAGACAAAAATAAGTGTGGCTATACTAGTAAGACTGGCTATATTAAATAAATAAAATGCTCATTTATTTGCTTAATTTTTATAATTGACTGCAGAAAAGGATCTCTACTCATTTAAAATTATTTATTTACATTTTTTTAAGATTTAAAACTGCATAAAATTAATAAATATTTATAAATTAAAAAGAAATGTAAATAAAGTTTGCTGCACGAGCAAACTACATTTCCTACAATAAATATAATGATGTCCCTCACCACCTTTACCCATCACCAGTACACTGTCCTCCTGTGGCAACTCTTGTGCTTGTGTAATATGGGAAGACTTCCTGAAGGACCGCCCTTACTGCCGCCGTCTTAGTGATGCCAAAGCCACCAATATTATCAAACTCCTTTGTGAGTATTACCTCCTCAGTTCCTTATGTAAAAGCCAGCCTCTCTCTTTGTTTTTTTATCATTCCGATGTCTTGTAGTGAGTGTAATCTCTTGACACCGGTGAGGAAATGCGCGGGAAGGGAGGGTGAACGAGGTCACAAAGTTTGGTGACGAAAGTTCAGAGTTTAGTAGTTGATTACAGTTGCATCTCTGCATAATTCTAACACAAGTCTCGGAACTAGGAATAACAAATCACAAAGGTTCTCGTTTTAATACTGTTTAACTGTAAGTGGATCAGTGTTAACTCAGTCACTTGTTTTCTAACTGCTCATTATGCTGTTCTGTCCCATTTTGTTCCCTTTATTACTGGGTCACTGGCGACTGATTATTGGCATTACACTGCCTCTCCAACTCTGTATGCCTCATAAACAGCTGTTACCATCCCCTGTATATAAACACGAAGTTCTATAAAATTAAAAGGAAAAGACGGGCGCCACATATAGCTAATGACAGACTTTTTCCATTTTCTTTTACAAACACGAAATGCTATTGATTCCTCCTCAGAACAGTATTAAAATTGATAATTGCAGTTATCTTATTGCTGTTGATATAAACATTTGAAAATGTTTTACTGAGGATTAAAATTTCTAAAAGAATCTGGCTTTTAATTTCTCATTGTATTTAAACGATACTTCTGTAACATTATCTACACTCACACCATAAACATCCTAAGACCTGTATTTCCTATTTTAGGTGTTAAAGTCTTCTTGCATGGTGGTGAGATTACCGTGCAGCCTTAATAACCATCGTGTAGTCGACAGGCTTTAAACCCCCTTTACTAACCAGTTATCGTCTACAGATTCAGGTTACGCTGGATAAGTGTTAGAAGTTTACTTGTAGTTCATTCTAAATGCGAATACCTGAAACATGTACAAGCAGTTGAGTGAGAATCAGAGAAATTCTAAAAATTTTGCTGACACTAAAGTGATTTTTTTTGGCTTCTTTTGTGTAGTATTACTAAATAAATAAAAATGTTGAAACATTTTTGTACAGAAATCAATTTTAGTCTTTCAACCTGTCAATCAAGAGTTCTGACTCGAGAATAATGAGGGGAATAAACACTAATGTTTTCCCTTTGTTGACTTCAGCCGTGGGATCCGGCCTGGCAGCCATAATCATGAGTCTCATGGTAGAGAAATTGGGCAGCATCCATCACGTTGCCAGCAGCATTCTTTCAGCTATCACTGGACCTCTGAGTGGCCTCTTTATCTCCGGAATCTGTACGCCGTGGGTGAGCACAAAGGTACAGTAAACATTATACCTTGCATTATACTTTAAATTCTTTCTAAATAGGAGAACAAGACAAACCACAGAACGGGTGGGACTCGAATCCCTTGACAAGCAAGTCCTGGAATTCGCAAGTCACTGTGTTATTCGTTCGGTGAATTGCAATCGTGTTACAACGATTTCGTGAATCAAGAACAAGTCACCCTTTATAAAGGGTATTTGATCCTGGAGGATAAGTAACCCAGGGTTACCCAAGACAGCAAAATAATGCGGCTTTTTTCCATTCAAACTAATGTTTTCGAGCATATATTACTTTTCAGGGTGCCATTGTGGGTTTCCTCACCTCTCTCGTGTTTAGCGTCTGGGTTGTTATCGGGAAGTTCTTGCGAGGAGGTGGCTCGCCTGCTAGACTTCCACTGTCCATCGAGGGCTGCTCAGGAAACCTCACTCACTTCTTCAACACCACCGTCAATAACTCTCTCACCAACATCTTGCTGACTGATGGTCACCGTGTCAACACTTCAGTCACTGATGCTCTCCTTGTTAATACAACAGCTGCCCATGAGTAAGTGCCATGAAGACTAGAAGTCACCATAATGTGACTGGAACAATTGAAAAACCAACCGACAAATCGGAAAGGAAAAACTCAGAGATATTTCGGCTCTTCCTAGACCTAACTGCTATTAACATTAGCTTCTTCATAAGTGAGAAATTTAAGTTTCCTGTACAGCTGCAAACAGACTTGGGAAAATTCTATGACATTTTATTGCTTACGTAACTTATTCTTATAATTATCGTTGGCTTGTGCATCTTAGGGCCAGTTACGACACGGATCGTTGGAATCCGTGTCATAACTAGAGAATGACTCATCACATCGGCTTCAAATTATCGCCACTGCCGTGGTTTTTCCCGAACACTAGGCTCACACTGCGATTGGAAAGCATAAGTTCCAATTTGCCCGGTTTTATTGAATAAATAGTGACATTAATTTTTATTCAATAACTAAAGAATGCTTCTTTTGATTGGCTTCAAAAATACACCCACAAGTTTAGTTCGGGTAGGTGCAGATTTGAAATGTTGCTGAAACAGTTAAACATTAAATGGTGAATCGTTTGAATCAGATCAGTTGCTGAGGAATGCCTTTTCTGATCGCCTTCAAACTTTTGCCATTTGTGAGAGTTTATTAAAGTGAAGCTCATCACTCACTTTGAGCTGTGTAAATTTCAAATTGCCAATTTTAAAACAAGTGTTTCCCATGTAATAACAAGAGAATGCCTCTTCTAATCGATTTCATACTCTCGTGTATCTTAATTAAAACTCAGCAGCATTTTCACTTGCTTTCTGTGGAAAATTACATTTATCTGAATGTAACTCATTATATACATAACAGAAAATGATAACAAAGATAATTATTATTTATCAATGTTACATAGACAAGTAGGAATTTGGGACACCTAGGTCGCAAAAAATGTCCCCCTTCGATACCTACCACTGTCATATAACCACAAGTTGCTCTGGACCTATTAATTAAATGAAATATACATACACCAGGAATACTGGTAAATATATAAATTTGTGGACTGTATATTAAAAATAATAAATGGTTATATATATACACAATTACATAACAGAAGGAAAATATATCTTAATATCACTCACCAATTTGACTGGATATTAAGTTGTATCATACTCAGAAAAACCTCACTAACTAAATTTATGAAAACACTGGCCAGAATTATACACAAATCTAGAGAGCTTATCTGAGGTTCCTGGAGCTGTCTTGTCCAGTCATCTGATATCTCAAGTTATGCAGGAATGCACATCCACCAATTCCGCCTCCTATTTGAGAGGTGTCAACACAATTTTAACCTCTAGAGCACGAAAAATTCTTCCCAGTACACCAACGTTTGTACAAAATTCAAAACCAAGATGGCGAGTCTCGTCTGCGCAGACGCAGGCTTTCCGTTTTCTATGACATAAATATTATTAAATACAGTATGGACATCTATTTACATATAAATACTGAATTTCTGGAAAATATGTACAGTATTTTCCACACTTTCCTTCTCACAAATTTTCGTTTATTTCTTGAGAACGCCTTATTCGACCGGCTTCAATTTTAGTGTTGGTGTAATGTATCTTGGGAAAGATTCATGGGGCTATTTGCACAGTTTCCCAGGTTAGATTTCATGATAATTTTTTTTTTTCATTTTAATTGTCAGGTCGCCAAAAGAGTTACATTTGAAATGGTCTCTTAACACTGCCAAATTAGCTGATAATTTCTTAATAAACATGTGTATTTTGAATATGCGAAATAAGTGAAACAAATACAAGACTTCCCAATGAACATTTTTTTACAGGATGTCAAGTAAAACCATATACGAGATATCCTACTGCTATACTGGCGCTTTTTGCGTGGTGGTGACACTTGTAATCAGCAGCCTCGTCTCTCTCTTCACTGGTAAGTAATAAAATGTTATTTCAGCTCGTTTACCAACACCCACTATGAGGATACACACGGAACCTTCATGAAAAATGTTATCAGCAATGTTAACAATGTTAACCATTTTATAGAAAATTAAACCACAGCCATTAAGACTTGACATTCAAATTTGTATTTTAGCTTCTTTCGAGGATTCACCTATAATTTTTTTAGTCGTAATAATTTGTTTTGCGAGTTAAATTATAAATTCTTTAATAGTGATGATATATTGTGAGTGCCCAGTTAAAATGATTTAACCATAATAATATATTTTTTTTAGTTATCACTGTTTGTAGCCATAAATATAAGAATTCTTTGATAATCTCAGGTGTCGTCCCGCCGCATGAGACAGACGGGGTGAATCCTGCTTTTGCCCGAGTCTACCAAAGAATGTGGAACTTCTTCAGCGATCGCAGCACCAGCAAGCAAGAGACTGTCACTGAGGAGGAAGCAGTGAACATGTTGGTCTTACCAAACCCTATGAACCTCAACACACCCTCCTAGTTGTTATATACTTGTAAACTTTCTTAATATACAGAAATTTTAAACAATCTCAAAACGGGAATGTACCGTCGGAAAAGAACTTGACCTATTCATTTCGTGGAAGGCAATGAATCACTGCTGTTACACATTATATATGTATTTTTACTATGTACTAAGCGTTAGTTTTAACTCTGAGATGTATAACATAATAACAGATGAAGAATAATATATAAAACTTACTCTCTCACGTTTCTTCGGTTGACATGTAGAAATGTGTCACATCCATGTGTTTAAACCGTCTAAAATTCGTTTGAAATTTTCTCGTCAAAAAGTTGCTAAAGATGGCATCAAATTCGGTCTGTGTAATGTTGACCCCTCAACCGAGGTTCCTTGATGCTGGTGAGGGGTCGGGAGAGGGAGGGTTCTTGATCAAAGGAATTGAACCTGCCTTTCCTTTCCTTTGATCAACCCTCATTACCTTCTCTTCCCCCAAGCGCTGTATGACCCCTACGGGTTTAGCTGACCCCATGAATGTAATGTAATGCAACGCTTTAATGTAATCGCAATGCTTGATGGCTCACTTTCCTATTTTATTTTCTTTGCCTTCCTATCTACTGCTTTGTTGCGTTCTGTCTATGGGTTTTTTGTCCCACTGGGATTTTGTCCTTCCCTCGTGGGCCATTAACTCTCCTGCAGTGGCCCTCTGTTCTCTTGTTCCTATAGACTAACTACACTAATACAACAACTACTACTACTGCCCCCTGTTTCACTTCCACTACTTGCTTCTCATTGCCCTACTACTACTACTACTACTCCTACTATGTTTCTCAGCGTATATACATCGAGAGGTGTCTTTCAGTGTATGCACACCAAGAGTTATATATATTCAGTTTATCCAAGTATCAGTGCTGGAGACCTAAAGCAGAAAGAAGAGGAAACGAATTGGTCCTTCCCACCACTTCTGCTGCTGCTCCTCCTCCTCCTTTTAGACTCTTCCTCTGGTACGTGAGTCATTCCTCATGCCTTACCTCCAATGTAGACAAACTTTTGTTAATAACAGATTTCATTTCATTTGACTGACATCGTCTAATTGTACAACTAGTAATGCATCTTACTCTTGATAAAATAAGATAAGATTTTCTTCGGATTTTTAACCCCGGAGGGTTAGCCATTCAGGATAACCCAAGAAAATCAGTGCGCCATCGAGGACTGTGTCTGATTTCCATTGTGGTCCTCAATCTTGTTCCCCAGGATGCGACCCACACCAGTCGACTAACACCCAGGCATCTATTTGCTGCTAGGTGAACTTGACAACAGGCGTAAGGAAACACATCGAAATGTTTCCCACCCCGCCGGGAATCGAACCCGTGCCCTCCGCGTGTGAAGCGAGAGCTTTATCCACCAGGCCACCGGTTAATATTATATTTAATATTATAGTGTTTCCTAAGATTACCATAATATTTGATATTATTTTATATCGAGTCATCTTTTGTTATTTTGCAAGGATAAGTAATTTCAGTTTTCCTAGTCGGTGGACTCGGGTACAAGGATGGCGGCAAAACGATACGATTGATTAATGTTGTTAAGTAGAACGTGCGAAATTACGGTGCGGTATTTCTGACAGGTATGAAAAAAGATCTCACTGTACCGTCTACTGAGAAAATAGGTGTCCAGTATCTGAAGATTCAGTAAGTTGCTCCAGCCAGTCGAGAGTTATGGAGCGACTGTGAAAATATCATGGCCCTTGACCAGGCCCGTGGCCTGGTGGCAAAAGCACTTGCTTAACATGGTGAGTGTCCGGGTTCGATTCCCGGCGAGGGTGGAAACATTGGGCGGCGTGTTTTCTTACACCGGTTGTCTATGTTCATCCATCAGTACAAAATGGGTACCTGGGTGTTAATCGACTGGTGTGGGTCGCATCCCGGGACAAAATTTACTTAATTTTCCCGAAATGCTCTGCATAACAAGTGGCTTTCTATATAGTATGTCATTGATGTCAGCTAGGCCTGTATGTCTTGTACATGTCCTTGTAGAAATAAAGATTTCATTATTATTATTATTATTATTATTATTATTATTATTATTATTATTATTATTATTATTGCTCTTAAATTCATATGAAACTCATGTGGGTCACCACAGGTGGTGCTGGAGCTTGATCCTCCATCCACTGATTGCTACAGAGAAACTCATCTCCCAGCCAGACTTGACCATGGATGTCAGGAATGAACGGGGAAGAAGTTCAGTATAGGTACAACAGTCTTCCTCTCAGCAGTCGCATCTTGTTAAAGAGGATACAATACCCCGGTTGTGGGATCAACACCCTGCCCTGGGAGGTGTGAAAGACTTGTTTTGATACGAAGAACTTGCAAGTGAAGCTGTGTAAATGATTTCTCCCGAGACGCAGGTGAAGTTTACCATCTCTGAGGAAATCTTGAGAGGAGGAGAGAGGAATATCAGGTCAGTTTTATTGTTCTGAATGACTAATGCCGTTGTGGAGGAGCAACTATGTAGGAGACTGTAACAACTGCGGAGGAGTCTGTAACAACTGTGGAGGAGCCTGCAACAATTGTGGAGGAGATTGTAATAGCTATGAGTGATTCTTGTGCAGCTGTGGAGGAGCCTCTAACAGCTATGGAGAAGGTTGTAGCAGCTGTGGAGGAACCTCTAACAGCTGTGAATGACCCGAGTGCAGCTGTGGAGGAACCTGAAACAGCTATGGAGGAGCCTCTAACATCTGTGACGGAAGTTTTAGCAGCTGTGGAGAAGCCTCTAACAGCAATGGAGAAGGTTGTAGCAACGGTGGAGGACCCTATAACAACTGTGAATGACTAGTACAGCTGTGGAAAAGCCTATAACAACTGTGGAGAAGCCTGTAACAGCTGTGGAGTAGCTTGTAATGGATGGAGGAGTTACCTTGCAGGTGTCTATGTGAAGATATCTTACACGTGTCTCTGTAAAGCAGTCTTACAGGTGTCTGCCTGGAGTTAATCTGGAAAGGGTTTCGGAGGTCAACGCCCCCGCGGCCCGGTCTGAGACCAGGCCTCGTGGTGGATCAGGGTCTGATCAACTAGGCTGTTACTGCTGGCCGCACATAAACCGACGTACGAACCACAGCCCGGCTGACAGGTACTGACTTTAGGTGCCTGTTCAGCGCCTTCTTCAAGACGACAGGGGACTATTTGTAATCTACTTTATGTATGCTGGAAGGCAGTTGAACAGTCTTGGGCCCCTGACACTTGCTGTGTTGTCTCTTAGTGTACTCGTGCCCCCCTGCTTCTCATTGGGGAAAAGTTGCATCTCCTGACGAGTCTTTTCCTTTCGTAGGGAGTGACTTTCGTGTGCAAGTTGGATACTAATCCCTCAAGGATTTCAGGTGAATATTATCATGTATCTTTCTCGCCTGCGTTATAAGGAATACAAATCAAGGGACTTAAACCGTTCCCAGTAATTTAGGTGCTTTACCGTACTTATGCATGCCGGAAAGTTCTCTGTACATTCTCCAGGTCAGCAATTTCGTCTGCTAGTTAGTGTACAGCAGTAGTCAAACCGAGAGAACAAGCGATTTGAAGAGAATCATCATGGGCTTTGCATCCCTAGTTTTGAAGGTTCTCATTATCCATCCTATCATTATTCTAGCAGATGAGGTAGATACATTATTGCGGTCTTTGAAGGTGAGAGCCTCTGACATTATCACTCTCAGATCTTTCACATTAGTTTTTTGCTCGATTATTTGGTTAGAATTTGTTTTATACTCTGATAAAGTTTTAATTTCCTGAAGTTTTCCACATCTGAGTAGTTGAAATTTCTCTTCATTGAACTTCACACTGTTTTCTGGGGCCCATTTGAAGATTTGGTCGATGTCCGCTTGTAGTCTTTACAGTGTCTTCGATGGAGGAAACTGTCATGGCAATTCGATCGAGTGTCATCCGCAAAGGAAGACACGGAGCTATGGCTTACATCTCTGTCTATGACAAATATGAGAATGAGGAACAGGATGGGAGCGAGTACTGTGCCTTGTGGAACAGAGCTTTTCACCGTAGCTGCCTCAGACTTTACTGTTTGCTGTTACATTTTGTGTTCTATTTGTCAGGAAGTTATAGATCCGTCTACCAACTTTTCCTGTTATTCCTTTGTCACGCCTTAGATTTAGCATAAGAGAAGTGTTTCGCGTTTCAGTTTCATTTATGGTTTTAAGTTCTTCCTGAGATTTTTGTCTCCTGTAAGATTCCTCAAGCTGAAGTTCGATATTTTCTATTTCTCTGACCAGTGCCTCCCTTCGAATTTCAGAAATACTGGCCCCTCTCAGCAGCTCTATGATTCTTCGCCTTTGCCAGCATAGGGAGCATCTTTCTCTTTCTTGTTTACATCTTCTTTCTTTTTCTTAATGGAATCTGCCTTGAGGAGACCTCAGGTGGCACAGAGTTAATTTTTTTCTAGACATTGGTTCGGATCCGTGTTGATTAGGATATCTTCCTATCTTGTTTCATTTAGCACATGGTTTACTTGTTCCTAGTGTATGTTTTTGTTACTGAAATCCAATTTTGTGAAGGCACCCTCATAACTAATACCATTTTGCTGTACCTCTATTATGTTGTGATCTGAGTGTATTGTCTTTGATGCGGATATATTACGGATCAGATCGTCGTTGCTGAAGATGGGGTCCAGTGTATTTTCTAGTCTTGCTGGTTTAAGGTGAATTTGGTGCAGAGATTTAGTAGCTCGTGTGTGTGGGAATTTTCATCTCAGCTGCCTCCTGCAGTGATTTCTGCTATAACATTATTTAAATAAGCTACACTCCTCCGTTGTAGGTGTCTCAAGTTGAAATCCCCCATTAGGAAGATGTTTGGGGCAGGAGTTGGGAGATTTTCCAGACAGTGGTCAATTTTCAAAAACTCGGAAGTTGCATCCGGAAGCTTGTATACAACCACAATGGCAAGGTTTTGGTTTTCGATTTTTACTGCCAAAACTTGAACTACATCATTGGAGGTGTTCAGTAATTCTGAGCAAATGATCGACTCTTGACGTACAAGCCGATCCCCCCGCTCCCTGTTGCCTGTTTAGTCTAGTCTATGTGAAGCTATCTTACATATGTTTATGTGAAGCAATCTTACAGGTGTATGTAAAGCACTTGCAGGTGTCTCTGTGTGAAGCAATCTTACATGTGTCTATGTGAAGCACTCTTGCAGGTGTCTGTGTGAAGCAATCTTACAGGTGTCTATGTGAAGCAATCTTACAGGTGTATGTAAAGCACTTGCAGGTGTCTGTGTGAAGCAATCTTACATGTGTCTATGTGAAGCACTCTTGCAGGTGTCTATGTGAAGCAATCTTACAGGTGTCTGTGAAGCAATCTTACAGGTGTCTATGTGAAGCACTCTTACAGGTGTCTATGTAAAACTATCTTACTGCTACCTCTACTACAACTCCTGCCCTATACCGCGTTGTCTTCAGACCTCTACTTTTTTTCGCCCTTCTGGTGACTTGACAAAGGTCCAGGAGAGACCGAAACGCTGTGATAAGTTTCCTCTCCTGAGTGCTGGTGTTTGGTGGGGATGAATAGTGTGAGCTCTAAATGCCTGAAAACAATGGTGTTTTCGCCTCCGTGAGGCAAGGCCACGCGATGTTATAAGTAGTTTTATCTCGAGATTACAGCTGCGTCACAAAAAAAAAAGGGGGATGAGTAATAATAATAACAGTAATACTACTACTACTACTAATAATAATAATCTTTATTTCTACAAACGACTTATACAGACCTAACTGACATCAATAACATACTACTATATAGAAAATCCCTTGTTATGCAGAGAATTTCGGGCAAATTAAGTTAATTTTGTCCCCATGATGCAATCCACAGCAGTAGGCTAACACCTACGTACCTATTTACTGCTAGGTGAACAGGGACAGCAGGTGTCCTAAGGAAATACTCCCTAATGTTTCCGTCCGAGCCACGGACCTCAATATGTGAGCTGAGTGCGCTTAGATCGTAATCACTTAACGTCAAATTACGTCAGTTATTAATATTAGTTAATTTTAATAAAATGGAAACAGAATCATATGATGAACCCCTCAGCTTGCCTCTCTAGTGATATTTGGATGGAGGTGCATGCCGGCCTATATTATTCACTCTCGCTAGATGTACATGAGTGGTCATCCGGGATTGTCATTACAGAATGAGGAAAGTCACTGTTGTTGACGCACTTGGGTCACGACTCTTCCTCCACCAACCCAGCTACCAACTCTGCAGAGGCTAGGCTGTCAGTTAAAAGCATTCTACCCTGCCGATAGGTGTACAGACGCTAAACGGTGAGTTAAGGCTAACACCCAGCTGCACATACAATCTAAAACTAAGTTTGTTACATTCCCTGCTGTCTGCCAAACACCACTGACGTCCTCCTCTAGTACTGGAAACTTTGTTTAGGACAGCTGCCGATCGACCTTCCTTACTAACTGGTAGCTATAACGAAACTTCCTCAGTCTTCATGTGAACAACAAACACTACCAAACAGTCTCATGGTCAAGATCTGTCAAATGACCAAGGAATCCCATTCAGTGCTTAAGCCAACAATGTAGAAAGTGTAGATAAATAGTTTGTTGATCCGACAAGTTGATAAATTAGACACATCTGCAACACTTGGGTATCTTTACTGCGGGAACGTTTCGCCACACATTAGCTTTATCAGTCCTATAGAAAGAAGAATAAGAACATAAGAAAGAAGGAACACTGCAGCAGGCCTACTGGCCCATGCGAGGCAGGTTCAAGTCTCCTACCGGCTTAAGCCAATACCCCAACCTAGTCAGAGCAGGTCACATTCACTTAAGAAAGGAACACGACAACTGACCTAGTAGCACAAGTTAGTCAGGTCCAACTCACACCCACCCACTCATGTATTTATCTAACCTAATTTTAAAACTACACAACGTTTTAGCCTCAATAACTGTACTTGGGAGTTTGTTCCACTCATCCACAACTCTATTACCAAACCAGTGCTTTCCTATATCCTTCCTGAATCTGAATTTTTCCAACTTAAAACCATTGCTGCGAGTCCTGTTTAGGCTAGATATTTTCAGCACGTTATTTACATCCCCTTTATTTATTCCTGTCTTCCATTTATACACCTCAATCATATCCCCCCTAATTCTACGTCTTTCTAGAGAGTGCAGATTCAGGGACCTCAGTCTATCCTCATAGGGAAGATTTCTGATACATGGGATCACCTTTGTCATCCTCCTTTGTATGTTTCCAGAGCATTTATATCCATTCTACAATACGGTGACCAAAACTGAGCAGCATAATCTAAATGAGGTGGCCTGGTGGCTAAAGCTCCCGCTTCACACACGGAGGGCCCGGGTTCGATTCCCGGCGGGTGGAAACATTCGACACGTTTCCTTACACCTGTTGTCCTGTTCACCTAGCAGCAAATAGGTACCTGGGTGTTAGTCGACTGGTGTGGGTCGCATCCTGGGGGACAAGATTAAGGACCCCAATGGAAATAAGTTAGACAGTCCTCGATGACGCACTGACTTTCTTGGGTTATCCTGGGTGGATAACCCTCCGGGGTTAAAAATCCGAACGAAATCTTATCTTATCTTATCTTACCAAGGATATATAGAGTTGAAGAACAACCTGAGAACTCCTATTATTTATGCTTCTTGATATGAAGCCAAGGATTCTGTTAGCTTTATTGTGAACACTTGTGCACTGTTGACTTGGTTTTAGATTACTGCTAACCAGGACTCCTAAATCTTTTTCGCAGTCCGTAATATTAAGATCGACATTATTTAGTTTATATGTGGCATGGTTATTTTCCTGTCCAACATTTAGAACTTTGCATTTGTCTATATTAAACTGCATCTGCCACTTCTCCGACCACTGCATCAGTCTGTTCAAATCTTCCTGGAGTGCTCTAATGTTCTCGTCAGAATGAATTCGACGGCCTATTTTGGTGTCATCGGCAAACTTGCTTATGTCGCCCTTTATGCCCTCATCAGTGTCGCTTATGTAGATTGTGAACAACAGGGGGCCCAACACTGACCCATGTGGAACACAGCTCGTGACGCTTCCCCACTCTGATTACTCCCCATTTGTGTAAACTCTCTGCTGCCTATTTGTCAACCATGCCTCTATCCAGGAAAAAATTTCTCCTCCTATTCCATGTGCCTTAATTTTCCTCAATAGTCTCTGATGTGGGACCCTGTCAAAAGCCTTACTGAAGTCCATATACACAATATCATATTCATTACCATGATCTACCTCCTCAAATACCTTAGTGAAAAAAGTTAATAAATTCGTAAGGCAGGAACGCCCCTTTGTAAAACCATGCTGAGATTCGTTGATTAATTTATGCTTTTCAAGATGGCTACGAACTGCCTCGGCAATTATTGATTCCATAAATTTTCCCACTATGGAGGTTAGGCTTATCGGTCTATAGTTCGAAGCTAAGAACCTGTCACCTGCTTTGAAAATAGGTATCTCATTTGTCATTGTCCACTTATCTGGCACCATGCCAGTCTGTAGTGATGTATTGAAAAGATCAGCCAGAGGTTTGCTAAGCTCCTCTTTACATTCCTTTAGAACCCTTGCATACAGTTCATCAGGGCCTAGTGATTTGTAAGGTTTTAATTTATCAATTTGCCTAAGAACCATGTCACTTGTGACCCTAATCGTGCATAGTTTATTATCGTCCTGTTCTACATAATTTATTATTTCTGGAATATCGCTAGTATCTTCCTGAGTAAAAACTGAGAGGAAGTATGTGTTAAAAATTCTACACATTTCCTTATCACTGTCTGTGAGCTGACCTGAGTAACTTTTGAGTGGGCCTATCTTGTCCCTGATCTTACTTCTGTATACCTGAAAGAATCCTTTTGAGTTAGTCTTCGATTCTCTTGCAACTTTAACCTCATAATCTCTTTTTGCTTTTCTTATTCCCTTTATTATTTATCTCTTTAACTGAATATATCGATTTCTTAATTGCACTCTCCTCTTTTGATTTGCCTATATATGCCTCTCTTTTGGCCAATGAGATGTTTTAATCTATTGTTCACCCATTTAGGATCATTTTTGCTTGATCTGATTTCCTTATTTGGAACATAAGTTGTCTGAGCAACTAGAACTATGCCCTGGAAAACGTCATATTGGCAATCATCACCACCTACCTGACCCATAGTCAGGTCATTCCAGTTCAGCCCACCCAAGTAATTTTTCAGTCCTATGAAATTAGCCAAGCGGAAGTCAGGGACAGAGACTTGATTGCCATTATTAGGGGAATTCCATGATATATTAAAACTGAGTGATTTGTGATCACTTTCCCCGAGCTCATCATTAACCTCAAGATTATTAATTAGCATTTCCCTGCTGGCAAGAACCAAGTCAAGCAGGTTATTTCCTCTAGTTGGCTCTGTCACAAACTGCTTTAAAAAACAATCCCGAATCGTATCAAGAAAGTCACTTGATTCTAAATTTCCTGTCAAATTGCTCCAGTCAATCTGTCTATAGTTGAAATCTCCCATTATCACAACATTTTCGTATGTAGATGCCTTACGAATTTCATCCCATAAAAGTTTACCGCACTCCCTATCAAGATTTGGGGTCCTGTAAATCACACCCAAAATTAGTTTTTCACGGCCCTCGAGAAGCTGTAACCAAACAGATTCAGTGGCTGACGCTTCTAATTTTATATCTTGTCTAACACAACAATTTAAATTGTCTCTGACATACATCGCTGCTCCACCACCCTTCCTGTTGACTCTGTCAGTGTGGAATAATTTATAGCCTTGTATGTGACATTCAGAGGGCATCTCTCTATCTTTCAGATTGAGCCAGGTCTCTGTTATAGCAATGATATATATGTTTCCTGCACTTGCAATTAATCTTAGCTCATCTATCTTATTTCTTACACTCCTGCTATTAGTATAATAGACTTTAAGTGAGCTAGTCCCTTGCTGCCCTCTGCTGCCTCCCTTTGTTTGTTGACCTGATCTATTGTCTTTATTTATAACTTCATGATGAATGTCTTTTATACATTTACTGTTCTCAACCCTAGTGTTGCAACCTTACTGTTTCCCACACACACCCATACCTCTATCTTCTATCAGTTTAAAATCCTAGGCATTTCAGCAATGGCCCTCTCGATTGAATTTGCAAGAGCTACCGCCCCTGCCCCAGAAAGATGTACCCCATCCCTTGCATACATATCATGTTTGCCATAAAAGTTGTCCCAGTTGTCAATGAATGGGATTGCAAGTTCCTTGCGGTACCTGTCTAGCCAGCAATTTACACCAATTGCCCTAGACAACCATTCATTGCCCACTTCCCTTCTAGGCAAGATGCTACATATAATTGGGACCCCTCCCTTAGACTTAATTAAATCTATAGCTGACCTGTACTTATCTAGCAGCTCTTCTCTCCTACCCTTCCCAATATCATTTCCACCAGCACTGAGACAGATAATAGGCTTGTTCCTATTACCTGACATGGTATTATCCAACCTGTCGACTATGTCACTAACACCAGCTCCTGGGAAACACATTCTATCTCAGCCTGGAGTCGTTGATACCGACTACAGCCTGAGGGAAGTGGCATTGTCCAGTTATTGCAGAGAAACCTGTATCTCGATTTGTTTATAAAAACTGACAAATTGGGACTTGCACAACCAAATAATAATCAGAACCTGAAGAAAATACAGCAGCTCTGAAGTTGATCAGAAGACGAAGTGAAGATTAAGACGCATGTGTAATAGTTAGGTATCTTTATTGATGAAACGTTGCGTCTACACAGTAGGCTTCTTCAGTCAAATACTGAGGGAGCAGGTGTAGGAGTGAAATAAAGATGATGTAATCAGTCCATTATCCTTGGAAAAAAAGCATTTCAGCATAGAGAGCTAAACCTTTCTCATCCCCCTACCCATCCCCTCTCCCCTACCCCCTCCTTTCTTCCCCTACCCCTCCTCTCTCCCTTACTCCTCTATCCCCCTACCCCTCCTCTCCCTCCCACAGGAAGTGTCCCACAACACATGACTAACACCTACCTGGAGTTTACCTGGAGAGGGTTTCGGGGGTCAACTCGTCCGCAGCTCGGTCTGAGACCAGGCCTCGTGGTGGATCAGGGTCTGATCAACCAGGCTGTTACTGCTGGCCGCACGCAAACTGACGTACGAACCACAGCACGGTTGGTCAGGTACTGACTGTAGGTGTCTGTCCAGTGCCTTCTTGAAGACAGCCAGGGGTCTATTGGTAATCCCTCTTATGTATGCTGGGAGGCAACTGAACAGTCTTGGGCCCCGGACACTTATTGTGTTGTTTCTCAATGTACTCGTGGCGCCCCTGCTTCTCATCGGGGGAATGTTGCATCTCCTGCCGAGTCTTTTGTTTTCATAGGGAGTGATTTTCGTGTGCAAGTTTGGTGCTAGTCCCTCCAAGATTTTCCAAGTGTATATTATCATGTACCTCTCTCGCCTGCGCTCAGACGACTTTTGTCCCGAGTAGGGAAATTAGATCTAACAAAAATGATCCCAGATGGATAAACGATAGATTAAAACATCTCATTGGTCAAAAGAGAGGCATATAGGCGTATCCAAAGAAGAGAAGGGCAGTTAAGAAATCAATATATTTAATTAAAGAGAGAAATAAAAAAAAGGAATAAGAAAAGCGAAAGGGATTATGAGGCTAAAGTCACAAGGGATTCGGAGACTAACCAAAGGATTCTTTCAGGTATACAGAAGTAAGATTAGGAACAGGGTAGACTCACTTAATAGTAACTCAGGTCAGATCACTGACAGTGATAAGGAAATGTGTGAACTTTTCAATACCTACTTCCTCTCAGTTTTTACTCGGGAAGATACTAGCGAAATTCCAGAAATAAATTATGTAGAAAAGGACAATAATAAACTATGCACGATTTGGGTAACTAGTGACATGGTCCTCAGACAAATAGAGAAATTAAAACGTAACAAATTCCCAGGCTCTGATGAACTGTTTGCAAGGGTTTTAAAGGAATGTAAAGAGGAACTTAGCATTCCTTTGGCTAATCTTTTCAATATATTACTATCACTACAAACTCAGCCTGGAGTCGATTGATACCGACTACAGGCTGAGGGAAGTGGCATTATCCAGTTATTGCAGAGAAACCTGTATCTCGATTTGTTTATAAAAACTGACGAATTGGAACTTGCACAACCAAATAATAATGAAAACCTAAAGAAAATACAGCAGCTCTGAAGTTGATCAGAAGATGAAGTGAAGATTAAGACCAATAAGCCTTACTTCCATAGTTGGTAAATTTATGGAATCAATAACTGCCAAAACAATTCGTAGCCATCTTGAAAAGCATAAATTGATTAATGAATCTCAGCACGGTTTTACAAAGGGGCGTTCCTGTCTTACGAATTTACTAACTTTCTTCACTAAGGTATTTGAGGAGGTAGATCATGGTAATGAATATGATATTGTGTATATGGACTTCAGTAAGGCTTTCGATAGAGTTCCACACCAGAGGCTATTGAGGAAACTTAAGGCACACGGAATAGGAGGAGAAACTTTTTCCTGGGCAGAGGCATGGTTGACAAATAGGCAGCAGAGAGTTTGCATAAATGAGGAGAAATCAGAATGGGGGCACGTCACGAGCGGTGTTCCACAGGGGTCAGTGTTGGGCCCGTTGTTGTTCACAATTTACATAAACGATATAGCTGAGGGAATAAATAGCGACATAAGCAAATTTGCCGATGACACCAAAATAGGCCGTCCAATTCATTTTAATGAGGACATTAGAGAAATCCAGGATGATTTAAATAGACTGATGCAGTGGTCGGAGAAGTGGCAGATCAGTTTAATATAGACAAATGCAAAGTTCTAAATGTTGGACAGGAAAATAACCATGCCACATATAAACTAAATAATGTAGATCTTAATATTGCGGATTGCGAACACTTTACAACTCTGGTTCTGGTTAGCAGTAATCTGAAACCAAGACAACAGTGCATAAGTGTTCACAATAAAGGTAACAGAATCCTTGGCTTCATAGCAAGAAGTATAAATAATAGAAGTCCTCAGGTGGTTCTTGAACTCTATATTTCTTTGGTTAGGCTTCATTTAGATTATGCTGCACAGTTGTGGTCACCGTATTACAGAATGGATATAAATGCACTGGAAAAGTTGATCCCATGTATCAGAAATCTTTCCTATGAGGATAGACTTGAAGGCCCTGAATTTGCACTCTCTAGAAAGGCGTAGAATTAGGGGGGATATGATTGAGGTGTATAAGTGGAAAACAGGAATTAATAAAGGGGATGTAAATAGCATGCTAAAAATAGCTAGCATAGACAGGACTCGCAGCAATGGTTTTAAACTGGAAAATTTCAGATTCAGGAAGGATATAGGAAAACACTGGTTTGGTAATAGAGCTGTGGAGGAGTGGAAGAAACTCCCGAGTACTGTCATAGAAGCTCAGACGTTGTGTAGTTCCAAAAATAGGTTGGATAAACACATGTGTGGGTTTGGGTGGGTGTGAGTTGGACCTGACTAGTTTGTTCAACTAGGTCGGATGCCGTGCTCCTCCCTTAAGTGAATGTGACTGACATGGCATAGGTCAAGGCATTGGCTTAAGCCGGTGGGAGAATTGGACCTGCCTCGCATGGGCCAGTAGGCCTGTTGCAGTGTTCCAACTTTCTTATGTTCTATTTGTCTGTATTGTCTGTGTGTTTGTGTGGAAACACTTGGGCATGTTTCTTTAAAACATCTGCTGTCCCTGGTCACTTAGCAGTGAGTAGGCACCTGGATGTTAGCCGACTAGTGTGGGTCGCATCCTGGGGACAAAATTAACCTAAGTTACCAGAAATGTTCTGCCTAACCAGAGGCTTTCTATATAGTATGTCAGCTACGGTCTGTGTAAGTTGTATCAAGTACTTGTGGAAATAAATATTATTATTATTATTATTAAGAAGGAACACTTCATCCCTTACTTCTACTGCCTCACTTTTAGTTCCCCACCAAATTCAATTCCTTTCTCTTCTCTTGTGCTGCCAGTAAATGTGTAAAATTACATTTTAAAACCTTTTTCTGATTCAGAATCTTACCTGGAGTTTACCTGGAGAGAGTTCCGGGGGTCAACGCCCCCGCGGCCCGGTCTGAGACCAGCCTCTTGATATAATTCTGTGACCTTCAGTTTGCACTGCCAACACTCACATTCCAAACAAAAACCTGAACGATATTTTAAACATTCTTAGGTTTATTGCATTCTAAAACCGATGAATTATCGAAAAAAAAAATATTTCAGGCATAGAGAGGTCCCGCTAACGAGGCACCGAGATGAACACCACAGACAACCCGAATATATCAGAAGCAACGTTCACCCCGGTGGACTACACAGTGCTGAGCCTCATGCTAGTGGCGTCCGCTGGTATTGGTGTGGTCAGCGCCATCAGGAGCCGAGGTAAAGCCTCCACGCAGGAGTACCTGCTGGGAGGCAGGAACATGTCACCTCTACCCGTGGCCATCTCTTTACTAGGAGGATGGATCTCTGCCATATCTTTCGTAGGTTAGTTAGAAGCATACCTACAACTATCACAATTTCACTTGCTTTTTCTTCCTCCAAGTTTTCTGTACGTTAACTTTAGAATGCCTCTTCCGATAGGCTTCAAATTTCCGAAGGTGGTGTAACTTAGAGCAAGACTGGACTGTGTAAAAGCCAGTTCGAAAAACTAATTAAAAAAAATTGTATTTTCTTGTAATTACCTGAGAATAATTCTTTTTAAACGGCTTAAGTACTAATGCATTGAGCCCAATAAGGCTTTAGACTGTGTAAATGCAATTTTGTTGACTTTAAAAATAATTTGAAAAGCAGGTATAACAGGTTTCCATGCAACAAGGGCAGAATGTCGTATCTGATCAACTTCATAAGTTAAACCCTGATTTTTTTTCTTCTGAAGTTTATAACAGATAAGACACAAGTGCAACAGTTTGGTATCTTTATTATTGAAATGTTTCGCCTGCTCAAACAGGCCTCTTTAGTCAAATACAGGTGACTAAATTTTGGAGCCAGCAACAGTAGAGGTAAAGATGATATGATCAGCCTCTCAGCCTCGAACAAGTTGAAATGTGGTCAGCCCAGTGTTTTGACAAGGTTGAGTGCCAGCTCCTAGGCTCTTATTGGTGTTGATCTCCAACCCATGGACCCCTTGGGAGGGTTTAATTTTAGGTTTTAGGTTTCCTGAGAGAGAGAGAGAGAGTTAAATTACAGTTCTTCAGCCTCAAGAGGGTTTTGAGGTCTAGCTTCTAGGTCCCTTGTATATGCTGAAGTACAGCTTCTAGGTCTCTTCCGTACGTTGAAGTACAGCTTCTAGGTCCCCTGTGTACGTTCAAGTACAGCTTTTAACCTCTTGCCTGCACTAAAGTACAGCTACTAAACCCTCTTGCGTGTCCTGGGATCCAGGGTGTAGGGATTATGTGATACAGGAGATATCTATCCCGGATCGCCCAGAAACTGAAACTAGTTTACATAACTAGTTATGAGACAAAGAACGCAGAACACATCAAATGAAAAGAATCAATAAACTCTCAAGCTATGGAGTAGCCTCGGATGACTGCTGAATTAGACTAGCTAAGGACAGTCTTTCTCGTTACTAGTGATCTCATCATCATTCATGGTCTCGGTATGAACACTGGGTCTTCCAGTTCTCTTACTGAACATTTGCTACATCTATGAAAAAAAAATTCCATGAATTCACTACAATTGACAGAACTCCCATCCCTTGATCTTGTTGGCAACAGAGGTGGACCTTGATCTTAATTCTTTTATTGATCTCAGTCTATGCTGGATAACACCCAATATTAGTCGGAGGAGGGAAGATCAAAACAGCAATCGTTTTTACACTAGCAGAAAAGAATACTTGTGGATATATGGACAGACTAAATTGGGATAAAATCAAGTAAAGCTTAAAGGATTTAAAGAAAAAAATAACAAGGAAAATGTATAACTGAAAACTCTCAAAGAGAAAACTAGTATAACAAAGAAAATAGAGAATGTGGGTCAGAAATTGGTTAAAAATGAGGATGATATTGAAAAGCAGATAATAGGCTTAAAAGGCTACAAAGCAAAAATGAAAATATTTATGCAGGAATAGCCAAGCAAAAGGCACGGCTAGAACAACAAATGAAGCTAGCTGAGGTTATTTATGAGAATGTTAACAAACATTTTGTGAAATAGAGGAAAGAGCTGGAAGAGTTTAAAGCTAAAATTGAAGACTATTGTGTCAAACTCACTAAGAAAAAGACGAAGATATTGGACATTTTAAAGAATAAATTATCACTTATCTCAGAATAGAACCTACACTCAATATTAACTTTTATAAACACTGCGGAGAGGCTGAATGAAGAGGTACTGTAAGTTTATTGAAGCACGGAAAGAGTGAACCTAGTAGCGACCAGCGAAGAGAGGGCCAGGAGCTGAGACTTGACCCCTGCAAGCATATATAGGTACAATACACACACAAACACACACATATACTGGGTCTGTTATGTGCTATTTACAAGCTTCAAGTGTTTGTTACTGCGATCGTCTCAGCCTTGTTCAGTAAGAGTTACATATTCCACAGGTAATCCCACAGAGATATACTTCTTCGGCACACAACTAACCACCATCTTGCTGGGCACAGTCCCAGGTAGTCTCTTCGCCGGCTACATCATTCTCCCGATTTTTTACAAGCTCAAAATCGTCTCCATCAACGAGGTCAGGTGATCATTAATGAATATTCTTCTCAGATAGGATTTTTTCTTAAATAAATGCAGTGTACGATTAATACGTTCATTTTAATCTTTGTAACTCTAGCGAATTCGGATAAAAACCGAATGAAATCGAATATACCTGCTGCCCCTGTTCATCTAGCAGTAAATAGGTGCTTAGGTTTTAGTCTACCGTTGTGGGTCGCATCCTAGGAAGTGGCTGTATACCTTAAATACAGTTGGGATTTGAAATAAACTAAGGAAAGATAATAGCCTGTAAATTCAGCTGTATGAAAATAAAAATGTTTTGGTTTCTCTATCCTTATAGTATTTAGAGTTGCGGTTTGGGTCAAAGCTACTGCGGAAGTTGGCTACCACATCTCTGGTCTTGTTCACCCTTACCTACTTGGCTTTGAGTGTGTATGCTCCTGCACTCATCATGTCCTCTGTCACCCAACTCTCTACCTGGGTCTCCACACTCATCATAGGCTCAGTCTGTACCTTCTACATCACAGTTGTGAGTATAACAAATGTGGCGTGACCGAATAATTTAGTCAATCGTAGACTGTATGAGCAAAGTTAAGTCGCTTATTACTGAACGTAACATTGTGGAAGG